AACTCCAATATCGTGCATCCCTAATAAATGTCTTTTTTTTTTTAAAGAAAATGACCAATCGTTTCACTAGATAAGACCCTTATTCCTCGGCTGGGATCGTGTAGAGCCCTTTGAAGCTGCATTGAAACTGCAATTTGGACCTTCAAATCGCTGGCCACCATTGAAGTCCACTGTATGGAGAAAAATCCTGGAATGTTTTCCTCATGAACCTTAATTTCTTTGCGACTGAAGAAAGAAAGACATGAACATCTTGGATGACATGGGGGTGAGTAAATTCTCAGGAAATTTAAATTCTGGAAGCGAACCTCTCCTTTAAAGACTAGATTCTCCATCCATTTTTTCATCATATATCTCAGTGTGGAAAGCAAATCTGATCTTTGAGCAGTGCTCACACTTACATGACCCTGTCTGTCTTGTAGCAGGTGAACTGGTCCATCTTCCCCCTTACCTACGCATGGACTTCCTTTTGAACCGGGGAGCAGTCCCTTCAGGTCGAGAGGCCACAGGACAGACTTGTATGGACCCGCAGAAGAGCCGAATGGCGAAGCGGCCAGCCTTGCTGGCCCCCACACCCTCCGAGACCCCCTCGTCAGCCCTCTCTTCCTCTGGCCCCCCCAGCAGAGAGGCAGTACAACAGTGGCAGCCGGGAACTGCCTCCACACTGCCACAGCGCGAGCCGGGCGACCTGGCCCAGGCCGCCAAACTCAGCAGCTCCCAGGAATCGCTTCTAGACTCCAGAGGACACCTGAAACAAAGCAACAACCCCTACGCAAAGTCCTACACACTTGTATAACACAGGACTATAGCTGCGGACCACGTTGCACTGTCACGCACACACAAACACGTGAGGACCTGCTGCAAAGACGAGTGCTTTTCTGATTCAGAGATGAGTCCTGTACATACATTCTGAATTCTGAAGTGGATAGTTTTCTTTGCATCTGTCTAGCTATCTATCTATCTGTCTGTCTATCTATCTATCTATCTCACTCTCTCTCTCTCTGCTGTTTTTTTACACTTTCTTTCTTTGACTCACCTTCTTCTCTTGCCCTCTTTTCTGACTAAGTTGGATTTTTTTTACGTAATCATTCATTTATTTTAAATACCACCGTTATGAAGATTGCCAAAATTATTTATTTAAATTGACAGAGGAACTACTTTTGAATTTATATCAAGGATAATTCTATAGTCATTATTATTATTATTATATAAAAATAGAGAAAAAGTATCAAAAAATGGTTTAAAAAAGCCGGGTGTGGTCAGCTCTGCAGGAAGATGTTTCTTTCCTCTATCCATGACTCTGTTGTTTTGATGAAACTATGAGGTGTGATCGTCCTTTTTTCGAAGCCGTTTGTCACAGCGGTGTATCTGACGATCACAGAAGACGTGAAGGAAGGACAACGAGTCCACATTTTCCAGTCGTCTCAGAATGTTGTGCTTTCTAAGGACTGCATGGGGACCTGAAAATAAAAAATGAATTCCACGAGATTTTCGTCACACTAAGGGATTATATAATGTTATAATATATGTTATGACATTATATGTTATAATATACATATAAATATATATATAAATATATACATACACATGAAGAGATCACTTTTATTTGTGGATAATACAGGGAAAAAAGATTTGGTAAATAAAGTCCTTAGTCATGTTTGCACACATCTGGTTTGATTAGAAAATTAAAACTGTTGGGTTCTCTTGTCTTTTTTTCCACTCATGGAGTTTTTTTGTGACTGCGTAACGGTAGTTTCATCGGATGAGCTGCGGAGCATGTGTGACACAAAGAGAGAACCGTGGAAGAACCGTAAATGTCTATCTGCCGTTTTCTCCAGCAGCTCCTTGAATGAATGGTATCTGATTCACCTGTTTGTAGATGGTGTGGCCTGTTTTGTGTAAGACACGCAACAAAAAGAAGATATTTTAATTGAGCAATATGACACTGGATTTACTAATAATTTCGTAATTCTTGGACATCTTGAAGTACTAACAGATATGAATGTATTCAGTAATGCATAATGAAAAATAAACCCGAAAATGATTGACAATAAAGAGACAAACTAATGACGCAGTCTCTAAACTATAATTGACAAACGTTTTTAATGATGACAGTAGACAGGCAGAATGATGAAAATCATCTAATGCTCCACTTGATTTGTGGTTTGCCATTCGAATGTCAGTCTAGATGTCAGTTAGATGCTTGCCTTAAACAAGACCAAAATGATAAATCGTGATGCTTGTCAAGATGACAATAATGTAAAATGACTGTATTAAAAATCCTCATAAGTAAAACATGCTGGTGCATCACCGTATCAGAATTAGCTAAAGTCAGGAAAATAATGTCATAATGCCCAAAAATCTAGAGGGTCTAGGACAGGAAGTCGAGGGGATGTTTTGTGACCATGTTACAAACTCAGACGCCCATCCATGATCATAACCAACAGATGGCACTACAATGTCTTTTGAAATGTTTATGATAGGAGCTCTGAATACTGTCTGTAGGAGGAGCTCTTCTGTTTGTGTGGATTTCTCCTCAATCAGCTGAAAACCAGCACATGCAGTTATTAATGCACTCACACTATAGCAAATCAGTAGAATTTACTTTTCTCTCCAGATCTGTTTAATAATGCGTGGCATTTACAGTCTAACTCAAGGCCTCGTGTTCATCTGGACACCTCCAACTCAACTAAAATAATTGAAGTGGTTAAGTTTTCTTTCATTCGGTTGAACTTGTCATACAAATGTTTTATGCATGGAGGACAGAAAATGACACCTAACATATAATGAAAACTAAAATATAAATCTAAAATACAAGAAATACATGTCTATAGATCAATGAATTTGCATTGTTTATCTGATAAACATTCAGAAGTTTTTATATTTTTGTACAATCTCCTTCAATTTGGTCAGAAATCACCATCAGCCACTAAAACATAGTTTGGTTGTGTTAACAGTGTGACTTGATAAATCTATCATTTAAACACTGATGAGAATACACTGAGACTACAGGCTTGCTGTGATGACAAAATAACTGTATTTTGAATATTACACAGGCCTATTAAATGCAGTTGTTTTGCTAGGCCTTTTAAAGGTTAGAGAAAACGAGAATGGCAACTTCACCAACCAAACTGTCCTGACCAGAGATTGTGTAGCCATATACTGAACTCATAGCAGATGAAATATGGAAAAAGGACATTCAGGGCTAAGGTTGGCATCGTTATTACCAGTTTTTAAAAGCTTTTGTGGATATCTGACAGTGATGACAATAGGGACAGATATTTATAAAAAAGGTATTTATAAAAAAATAAAATAGAAATCATTCTTTAAAATACACACAATATATTATCATTCAAAATTTTGAGAGTACTATGAAATGTTTTGTTTTTGAAAGATATTGTTACTTTCATTCACCAAGGAAGCAATCTGAGTGGGCACCTTGATATCCATTTGACGTCAAATATTAGTCAAGACTTGATCAAGATGCTGTAACATCATTTTAAATTCAGTTTGGATGGCAGTTTCTTCCAGTGGTAATAATCCCACACTGAAATTGGTTTAATGTATATGTTGGCCAATATGTTTGATTCAATTAACATCAAATCAATGTCACATCAAGTAGTTGACGTCAGTTTGATTTGCATATTTGACCTGTTTTTTTACATCAATTTTGATGTCAATTTGATGTCTTTTCACCATCACTTGCCCACTTGGGTTACTTGAAAATATACAGTACAATGAGACAATAATATAAGATGTATAATGTTACAAATGACTATTTCTATTTAAATAAATGTTGTTCTTCAAACGTTCTGCTCCTCCATGTGCAGTAGTGACACATACAGACCTCATGCTTTCTAGAGTCTTTCCTTCACACAGCGAAGATGCAGCTGAGCACCAGAAGCATCTGTTTCTCGAATAAACGGTTCTGATGTACTCCTTCTCTTGCTGTTGTGCACCTGGGCCGTCCACTTCTCTTTCTGTGCTGGTTAGATCCAGTTTGCACTGTTCTTTAAAGACAATAGTGCTCTGAGACAAGAGTCAATAGACTAGTCTCTTTGAAAAAGAGCAATACACTGATGGGTTTAAAGGGGTCATATGACGTTGCTAAAAAGAACATTATTTTGTGTATCTCCATCTCTGGGTCGCCCGTCTCAGGGCCTCTTGCTCCTTACCACCAGGTCTGGCGGGGGCCTGGATGGGCAGGGCGACTGCCCTGCGGCCGGCTCCTCGGCGCAGTTTTGCTGGAGGCTGCTGCGGACGCATCGATTTGGTGAACTGAGGCATTTGTTGCATCCAGTGGGGACATAATTACTCATTATAAAGACTTATACTGTCTTTTTACGCGTTGTGTTGCATCTTGTCGCGTAAACATAAAACCATGTCTGCATTTATGATCGGAGAAATTACAAACAACAAGCACTACTGTACACTGCTCAAAACTCGCGTTTGAATCATCATTGGCAAATTATTTAAATATAAAAAAACGTACTTACAGGCTGTGAGTCAGAAGCGCCAGACTGTCCTTGCAAAGTTGGAACTGCCCCACTTTATAGAAACAGCCTTTGTGCCATAGATGCATTGTAGGTTACTGGTTCAGGAAACAGTCCTCATCCTCCATAAAATGCGCAGCACACATCTGAATATTTGGGTTGAACTGTTCTGGAACAGTGTTGTAAATACAACTTAACCACTGATTTCTAGTCGTGTCCTCTTTTGGAAGACCAAACAAAGTAGTTTCGCTTTCACAACGAAACACACAGCGACTCAGAGAGAAAGTTACGCCTTCTTTCTTTGAGTGAACATTTGGGTGGCATTATGCAAATATTCCCACATCGTGACGTAGACATGTGGGGGCGTGTTTAAACGAGGCGTTTTAGGTAGGCGTGGCTGACTCTTAACTTTTATAAAGAATATCTCTTTGAATTTGAGACTTTAGTCTTTGCAACTTTACAGATCTTCTTTATGCACCAAGAGCTTGTAACACTCCAAAGAGAAAGGAAAACTTGAAATCGCATCATATGACCCCTTTAAGGGTTTCTTTTTGGCCGTGTACTTCAGTAATTGAAAAAAAAAGACATTCCCACATCAAAATATGCATAATTTACTATTATATAGTATGCAATAAGTGTCAATTGAGTAGGATGTAGGTAAACGAATCTCAAATGTGCTTTTGCATTTTGATATTCCACCATGCAGCACATGGTGAGATAGCAAAATGCAAATTACATGGATTAAAAAATAAATGAAAATAAAAAATGGCAGACAAATGTGAGTCAGGCGGGTCTTTTAAAGTGCTGTACTCAGGTTGCACTTTGTTGTACATTTCTGACTTACAGTTTTGAAGATTTTCTCATGGTATTAATGACTTAAAAATGTCATAAATATAGGACCGTTTGTTATTTTGAATGTGTTTGCTCATGATTATCTTGAGGACAAATGAAATTTGTGGCAATTAGGCCAAAAACAACTTTGATACAGTTGACTAGTCATGATTGTTTCACTAATGAAGAGAAATGTAATTCTCAAAGGAAGTCACTTCACTCCTAATAGCTGCTGATAGCATCATATCCATCAGTTACTGCACTAATGATAAGCATTTGACTTGTCATCATTGCCTGTTAAAAGGACCATGGCAGGAGCAGTGTGTTCAGTTTCAATAAGCTGACCACTCAAACCACTTAAAAAGCTAAAGCTAAATTACTGACATGTCACATTTTTATTGATTGACTGAGTTTTTATGATTAATTCAAAGAACTAAAATGAATAAACGTTTGTCAGAAACCTGTGACCCATTTTTGGGTGACATCCTACCAGTTGAGTTCATAGGCTTACGTTTGGTTATCATCTGCTTGTGAGAGTGGAAGTGAGATGATATTTTAGGTGTTTTCATGTCTGGATGGAACATACAGTAGTACATCAGCAGCAGCAGCAATCTAGTTCCAATACTGCATTATGTCCTTGGGCCCAGCGGTGGCAAGACAGGTTTTTGGTCGATTGAGAGCCTTGAGCCACATCTACAAGAGCTTTAATTATTGCAAGAAACACTTTCGCAGGGAAGAACATACAAGTATATGGCCCTGGTTCATTTGTGTTCAGTGTTTTTCAAGCTCTTCCCTTCTTGTCAGCTCCACAGATGGCATTATTTCCCTGTGCTGGGCCTTTAAATCTTTCTGAGGGTGTTTCTTCATGGAACTCTGCTCAGTACAGAGATGTGTATGTGTATGTGTGTGTGTGTGTGTGTGTGTGCATGTTTATGTGGTTTATGAGGACACAAATTTGTATAATAACATGGGTATGACATAGGTATTACAACGAGAAGGAGATTTATGAGGACATTTTCAGTGTCCCCGTAATTCAAAAGGCTTATAAATAATTCAGAATGAGTTTTTTTGAAAATCTAAAAATGCAGAAAGTTTCCTGTGAGGGGTAGGTTTAGGGGTAGGAAAATACGGAAAATACGGTTTGTACAGTATAAAAACCATTACGCCTATGGAGAGTCCCCATAAACCATAAAAACAAACCTGTGTGTGTGTGTGTGTACAGATGAGGGGATCTGGGCTCAAATACACGAGAGGATTCAGTGTAAATAATATATTACTCAGTGCAATGTGTGACCTTCACCAGATCTGAAGGGTAGGTGCTCTATTCGTACTGAAAGTGCTTTCACATAGAATTTGCTGAGGAAAGAAGGTACAATTTTTGTACTGTCAGCCATTTTGACTCTGATATCAGTATAAAATATGCAAATTAAAGACTGAGATGTTTTAAACAGGTCTTATGGATTCTATTCTGTGAATGAACTGAGATTAGATAAGAGCTGAGAATGTGTGTTATATGGATAGAAACCTGAATTAATTTATCTTGAAAAAAGCAATTCATGTTGTTGATTGCAATTCATGCAATTCAAAGATGTTGATGTAGAGACATTTGAAGAAACATTGAACAAACTTGTTGGAAATAAAGATTATTGGAGTATGTTTTACAAGAGAACACTTTCTACTTTGGTTAGTTCACCCAAAAATGAAAATTAGCCTGTGTATTACTCAACCTCGAGGCATCCTAGGTGTATATGACTTTCTTCTTTCAGACGAATCCAATCGGAGTTACATTAAAAATTGCCCTGGCTATTCCAAGCGTTATCATTGCAAGTGGGTGGGTGTTTCTGTTTAACAGTCCAAAACACGTTAAATAAAGCACACGCATCCCTAATAAAGCGTGCCTCACACGGCTCTGGGGCTTGAATAAAGGCCTCCTGTAGCGAATCCATGCGTTTTTGTAAGAAAAAGATCCATATATCAAACGTAATGAACACTTTTCTCTCACTTCCGGTATCTGTGGTAAGCGGAAGCCATTCCGGCGGATGACGTAGGACGTATGCGTCGCGCCTCTGAGAAATGCTAGTCTCGCGAGTTTGTTTACAGGAGGAAGCAAAGTTTCCTTACTTTAGGAAAGGATAACCAGTCTCCTCTTGGCTTATATCGAAATCCTCCGACATTTTTCTTTACAATTCCTCGGTTTGTACTTCTAATTCGTGACTGGCGTTTTGTTTTGTTCTCTCTCCGCATTCATCACTAATCACACAACGCCGACGTCCTACGCCATCCGCCGGAACGACTTCCTCGTAACACTGTTAGATGAAGTGAGAGAGAAGTGTTTATTACGTTTGAAATATGGATATATTTCTTACAAAAACGCATCGATGCGCTACAGAAGGCCTTTGTTCACCCCCTGGAGCCATGTGAGACACTTTTTTTTTTTTT